ATCAGAAGGAACAGTGCCTTTCTGGAGTTTGATTATTTGGCTGGCTGCTCGGCCCTTTGACTGCGCAACAACTTCTTATCTTCAGTACTTCATTCCTTTGCAGTTTCATTTTGTTTTTCCCCAGCGCTGTGTTCTGCCATTGGATTGCATTCACGCAGTGTGCCCGCAGGCTGCGCCATACTGTTGCGTATGTTGTGCCATCCAAAATAATCTCGGTGGGTGTTCTAAGCAGGTGCCATGATACAACCCATCTTCTTGGCAGCCAGAAGTGCTGTGAGCTATGCGTCTTCTTTTCCTCCTCACCTTCATATATTGTAATAGAGATGGAACCTATAGAAGTCTTGCATATGGTATACCTTGCCAAGATTACTCTGGTACCTAGAAGCTGTCCATACACGCTTGGTAAAGAAGATGTGTTTTGTTAATGAGGTCTATGTGGGATGGTGCTTGGAGAACTCTATGTAGATACAAAATGGTGTCCCTGGGAAAAAAAATTCTTTAGAACTCTCTGCCACATTTTAATGGAGGTCCACAGTGAGCTGGTAGTGGGCTTCTGGCTGACACCTTTTTTAGTACCACATCAGGAATGGAGCCTGACTGTACTAGTGTAAAAAGCACCTAAGCTTTGGTTTGATATAACCATTAGCAGTCAGCGTAGCTGCATAGTAAATGCACAGCTTATTGGGGTTTGGTGTTTTTAATTATTAATTGCGTGCTTGCATGTTTGGAGATGGACTCAAGCTAATATAATATTTGCCTTCATATATTTCAGCTGTGTAGGTGTTGAAGAAGAGGAGGCACCAGATATCGACATCTATCATTGTCCAAATTGTGAGAAAACCCATGGAAAGTCTACTTGTAAGTATACTTGCACAGCTGGTCCTGAGATACATAGCAGATTCTGTATGTTTAAACAAAAGAAGCTTTTTTTTTTTTCATTACAAGAAGACAGACCTAAACATCATGTGTCATAAATACTAGAATTCAAACCATGAGGTGAAAAAAGATGTTAGGGGGAGAAAACCATGGATTGGATTGTGGAGCTTTGGATGCAGCTCTCTGTCTGGCCTCAGGCCGTGTGTACAAGCTGATGCAAGGCACCTTACCTGGACAGCTTCAGTCCCCAGTCCCAGCAATGAAAATAATGCTTCCTTCCTCGCCCAGAATTAAGAATTGTGAAGGCACTTAGTACTGTGGGCTAGAAAAATCCTACAGAGACAGCTAGTTCTAGTAAGGTGAGTTTTGGAAACGACATGGTGTTTTTGATGAGAAGAGTAAGAAACAGTATGTTATGCTTGGCCTGGATATAAAACTGTAGAGATTTCAGTGGCAGTCAAAATTGTAGGATGCACTGAGGGTGCCAATTCTTGCAGTTCTTTCACGGGAAAAAGTTCTCCTGAGTAAAAGTGACAGTTGATCTCAGTGGGAGTTTTGCCTGGGAAAGAACTGTAGGATGTGTTTGCTTTGGTCAGATTAATTCACAAATTCTTTCTATTATACAATGGGGGGAAAAAAAAGAAAAGGAACCAATCCCTGTAAAAGATGAAATGCTTTACTTGAAAGCCATTTATTGTAAATAAGCAACAATGATGTGGAGGTTCTCACTGCTTTGCAACCTTACAGCAGCACACAGAGGAAGAGCACTGTGCTCATCTCCCAGGAGCTGAACAAATCATAGTGTTCCTTTTTTAGTATGAAATAACGGATGGCTGGAAACTGAGTTTTGTTGTGTTAAAATTCAGTAATTTTAAAAACAATCAATTATTTCTGCACTGCCTTAAAAGTTAAAAAATTTCTAGGGCGAAAGGGGAGGAGTCTGAAATGTTTGTTTTGGGGACAAAAATGGGAATAATTTTTCCACTTTGACTTTTTCAAAATCAAGTGTGAACTGGAAACCTGAATGACCTGCAGCTGTTCCTGTCTCCCAGATGGTCTGCTAACAACTTTGGCCCAAGCAGGGCACCCACAAATCGGGCAAGCTGGCAAAAAAACCCTTGGGAGGCTTGTTCTGAAAGACTTAACAAAATCAATATGTCCCGACAAAAATGTTTTGATTTAAGAGTCGACCTTTCTAATTTTTGTTGGAAGATTTCTGACAAATGCACTGGAAATTGGTCAAACAAATAACCACAAATCATCTTCAAGTGAACAATTTGGTATTAGAATGGGTTGTGTTGAAAAGGGGGGTATGACTGCAGGTACTCCCAGGCTGTTATTGACCCAGTATAGAAGCAGCAGCACAGGATTTCTAGCCTCTGACTTTTGTATAATGTTGAGATGTCCGATGCTTTGATTTCTTTCACTTTGCTTTGAATTAAGAATGATGAAAGGCACCTACTTTTCAGTGCAAGGGGAAAAAAATCAGAAGCAGCAAAAGTCTATAATCAGGAATTAAATATCAATTCCATAAAAACTGTGGCGCATAATCTCAGAATTCAAGACATAGCAGTTTTGATAAAAAGATTACAAGTTTAATATACCAGTTAAGATGAGGAGGGTTGAATCGACAACAATCTCCTGATGCTTTAAGAAGGTTTTTGGCTGTCCAATTCTTTTTATCCAAGTAAAAATCCAATTTGGCAGTACGTCCCTCAGTCTGCGTTACGCAGCATGGCAGAAAGTGCTTCTGGAGCGCTGTCGCTAGTCCTAGTCTTATCAATGTATGAGGTTATCAGTGTGATAGGAATACAGAACATTATATAATTCTGCAGTACAGCAATACGACTTTGTTTTCTCCCTTCAAATGCATTGCAGAAAGTTTAATGACATACAAGACCAATCATCAAAGTAGTCGAGTGTAAAAATTTTGGGAACATTTAAACATTAGTTATTGATAACCTTACCTTGAGTTTTGGTGAAGTGCAAGATCACAGGTTCTCAAGCTGCATAGCCGTTTTCACCATTAACTCGTAGAATTGTGGATCCTCTTGAAAAATGAGGCTGTTATCCTGTAGCCCCTCCTTGTGGAGTGCAATAGGCCAGGAAACTTAAAAAACTGATTAAATGAAGGCGGGAACAGCTTGGCTTAATGCATTCATTCTGTCAGGCATTTGTATGCAGAGCATCCTGCTACACAGCATTGGGGCTCTGCTGGGACTTCTGTGAGATGATCACTTTCATTTGTTTATTAACTGTTACAATATATGTTTAAACTTGTTATCTAGCAGTATCAGTGTTGAAATAAACGAGTCGGTGTTGTTCCAGAGCCAGTAGTTCACTGGTAGGATTTAATTATTGCAAGATTAGCAAAGGGAAACACAGACACCAATTGTCTGTTATGCAACTCGTCTGGATTTAAAAATATATGCGTATTTCTGGAGCACGCATTCCACAATATATGTTTTCCAGATGTCAACTTTAAAAATCATTTTCCTCTTCTTACATTTTTCCACTTTACCAATGTGGCTTAGTGGCTACTATTTCAGAAGATTGCTTCCTGTCATATGACATTTGAAGCCGTTTCAGTTTAATGAAATTTGTAGGGACTCCTCTTTGGGAAAAATTATACACATTCACACAAAATTTTCTGACATCATTTAAATAAAATCTAAGTGCTTTGTTTAGGCAGACTTGACTCATTTTCATAACATGATCTGAAATGTTTGGTTTGATTGCTGTCTCATTTGCAGCAGTGAAAATCAGGAGAAATTCTTTGGAATCAGTGAAGTTACATAAATGCAAGCAAACCAAAGTCAGGCTGAAACTGTTTTTAAGTAGTTACAACCTTTAATATAAATCAATAGAGAACTAACAGGGTGCTTCTATGTATCCCTTCCTCATAAATACATTTGAAATAATGTAAGTATACCTTTGAAGTCTAGAACTATTCATTCTGAGATACAGTTTTCATAAAAACTACATTCCCTTTTTCCGCTGGAGGGTTTTCTGTAGAAGGAGTAGGTTATACTTTCCAATGGTCAAATTTGGATCAGAAAGTTCTGCAGAAAAAGAAATCTGTAATCATTTAAGAAAAAGTGGCCTTTCTGGTCAAAGCTAGTATTTGTTGCACATTAACAGGCCTTTAATCGTTACTGTGGTGTTCATGGTAAAGACGAAACATGAAGAGAATGGCTGAAAATAGGCCAAACGTTGATTGTTTGATGTAGTATAGTGGATTACAGCAGCCGGCTTGCTGCTGTCCATGAGATAGCACCTCCTGGGGAGCACGTTCTGGCAGCAGAGGCATCTTTGTTGCCTCTGCATGAGAGGTGAATGTGAAAGGTGGATGCTCGCTGGTGCTCAGTGCCGAGGGAAATAGCTCCCCGGTGCTTTTTGAAGAGTTGCAGTGAATTTCTTAATTCAGCACTGATTTACCGCTTTTATTTCTCGATGCTCCATGCTAGCTGAAGCGTAATAAAAGAGCACGCTAATATGATAAGCTCTTTAATTTTCACTGTGGCAAGTGACACCTGTTTCACTGGGACTTGTGCAAGGAGTTCCAGTGTTGGTTCGGATCTGCTGAGAGCAGGAGGAGGCAGTCACTGGAAAGGGAAGGAGAGGAGGAAGGTTTGGCATTCATGTAGGGCTTGTTTCCTTTGTTACCAGGAGCATTGAATTAATACATGAAGCCTGAGAGTCATTAAGATAAAGAACTAGCAGCTTTAATGAATATATCCAGCTAGGCTGGAGAGCTGCGTGGAACTAATAAAAACAACATGCTTTGTGCAAAACCTGGGATGGATTTGTTGGGAGATGTCTTTACTCAAGTTATTCCATGGTTGTGGTTGGGAAAACAAAGTTAGCTTTTTCTGAACCTCATGTCTTATAGCTGTGGCCTCCAGATTCCTTTCTTAATGAAAAAGTATGTGGATCCGTGTGTGTGTGCATGTGCAAGGAGCGAGGGAAGAGTGCTGTCTGTGCATGGTTACTGATGAGTCTAGTTCTTTCCCCAGCTGTTTTGAACAATAAGAAAAGCCAAAGATCTTGATTTTGGGGTAAATTACTGAGTTTCATGATTTAAAACAAGGGTGAAAAATCAAAGAAAGTTGCGACATATGAAAGTTCTACTAATGGAGGCTTGAAATGGTACGAATATGCGCTTGGGAAAAAAAAAAATTACTACCAAAATGAGCATGTCCGGACAGACTGTGGAAGTAGGAACAGCTGAGAGAGATAGTGTTGACTAAGAGAAAAAGCTGGACCAGTTTTTCTTGCTCTGCATTATCTGGCTGTCAAAGAGGCAAGGCAGAACTACATTGGCACTTGACTTACTTACTTATTTGTGCTTATTCCAGCTGACCCTTTTTCCATTATGAACCTGCCTATATGTCTCACCCACTGGGAGCACAGTCAAGGGGCCTTCAGTCTGCTGTCATCAACTTAAGGCCTAAGCCTGGCTCACCTTTCAAAACCTAGGAATAAGAGGAGTTCTAGAAATTGCATTTGTGGTGCCCTTGTGTCTTTTTTTTTTTTTTTTTTTTTTTTTTTTCCTTTTTTTTGCATGCTTGTTTGCAGGGAGTTCTAGAAATTGCATTTGTGGTGCCCTTGTGTCTTTTTTTTTTTTTTTTTCTTTTCTTTTTCCTTTTATGTGCATGCTGTGTGCAGGGCATAATTCAGAGCCCATCAAAACTGATGTCAAATCTGCCACTGCTGGACAGACAGACTAAGGTAATTCATGACAAACATATTCATAAAGATCTATACTGCATATTGAGGAGGCAGGAAAGTGGCTTTCTAAGAGTTTTATAATAAGGATTAAGTGTGTAGCCTGGCAAGTACAAAACGTCCAGAGCCTGTGTTTGCATAAAGCTTGTGGTAGCTGTGCAGCTCAGTAATTATCCGTCTGGTTGCCCTTATGTTACAAAACGAACACTGTTCAGTATGTAATAGATCTTCAGGCTACAGTATAATTGTCTAATGGTGAATTGAGAGCAATGTTAAAATATGCAGTGCAGCATAGTGGGGGTTCCCTCTTCTCTGCTCGCGTAAGAAATGAAATGAAGATTTGTCCTTCCTTCAAATGTCTTAATAATTATCTTCTACTTAACATACGGTACTGTCCAATGTATTCTTTTTCAGTGAAAAAGAAAAGAAATTGGCATAAACACGATACTGGACAGACGACAGAGGTCAAACCTGTACAGAATGGGAGCCAAGTCTTTATAAAGGAACTTCGAAGTCGTACTTTTCCAAGGTACGTTGTTCAGCAGCACGCACGGACAGGGCTGTTGAGATAAAACATATATAGCCAGTTTCCTATGAAGCTGATGATGATCCCTGCTGAAAGCATTATATAGTACAGAGCGATGCAGTTTAAATGAGTGCTGTTTTATTGCAGATGTCCCAGGCTCTTCCCTTTTTTATATTTGTGCAGCCATATTAAAATCTACTCTTGGTTGAGCCTAGTTCCTGTGGATTTCTACAGAAGCTAGTATTTATGAAGACAAGAACAAGAGTGTGTTTGGCCCCTACAACATTCACTTGCATAAGAAACTAACCAATTTATTCCATAGAATTATTCAGTTCTCAAAAATACTAATGGTTTTGCTGAAGTCTGTCTCCATCTTGAAAAGAAGAACAATGACATCCTCAGTTGCTACAGTGACAAAGGCTCTCTTATTTGGGGTAATGAATAGTGCTAATTGTTAGGTGACATGTTCCACACTTTATTAGGCTGCTTCACAGCCATTTGTATGAGTGATGATTTTCTTCTGGTTCTCTAATGTAGGCCTTAGCCAAATAAATCCTTAATTATTAAAGACTAATTATTTTAGAAGAATCCTTGGAGACTGGTAAAGTGTACTTGGTAAACACCAAACTTCTTCCTTTTTATGGAGAATTTGATTTCACATTTAATTTCAGATACTGGTCTTAGGCTCGTTAAGGAAAAGGCTGAAAATACCTCTGCAAAGTGTTTGCAGCACTTACAGATGTGTTTCACTGAAATCAGGACCCAGTATTTTTACTTGCTTGGCTGTTTTTATTTGGGCCTGTTTGTACAGAACAATTTGACAGGTTGCAAAGCTAATTTCTTAAAAACGGTTTAAGACCTAGGCAGAATGATTTCAGTAACCTTGGATGGTCACTGAGATTGCACTCACATATGCAATATCTCATGAGTCACTCCCAAATTGTAAAAAAAAATATGGACCCCCATTTTTTTTTTGTTTCTCACATAAATGTGCATGTAAGAAAATCCTGCTGCCAAATTAAAGTTTCTGAGAAAGAAGGGTCTGTAGCCAAAAGGAGTGCCTGCAAAATTCAGGCCTCTGACATCTACACTTGTGCCATTAGTAAAACAAAGTCTTGTTGAGAAATTTTCTTCTCTGAAGAAAATGAATGAAATCTGCAGATGTTCACAGAACAAAACCCAACACTTGTCAGTCAGAATGTGATGAACGGAAAAAGGGGGTCTCAGTTCAGAGACAGAAACATCATTGCTGATTCACAGCACATGACAGTAAATTATAACCTATGGTTAGTCCCTTGGTGAGGCTCAGATCAAAAGGAGCAGTGAAGAGAGCAAAAAGGCAAAAAGTATAATTCATGTCATGCCATTCCTGAATGCTTAATACCAAAATAACATTAGAGTAGTAATAATAATTAAATTGATGGTTCAAGTACTTCAGTGTAGGTGCCAGCCTCTCCATTTTGGCACAATCATTACTAGGTGCTCTGGTACTGATATCTCTTTACGACTATGTGTAATTTCTGTGGCACATATAGAAGCAAATCAGACTTGAACAAGTATGCAAGATATATATGGGCACTGTTAAAGTAAGTGAAGAGGTTTAGGTGTAAATCACGGTTTTCTTCTTGCTCGTTAAGATCTCCAGCCTCATTCTTTGCGCGTTGCTGTTGTATGGTACCAGTGCTCACATAAATGAGGAACATTCCTTTTAATTATTAATTAAATTTGCCTCCTCATCAGCCATTGCTGATGTACTGTGGCTAGGGTGACGCAAAAATAAGCTGGGTTTCTACAGCTTATCCCTCTTTGCGTCCAGCCATCTTGTTCTCCCTGGGGTTCAAAGCTCCCACCTGGTGTATCCCTGCCGGGGCAGCCTGAGCAGGCTCAGGGCGAGGGGTTCTCCCTGTGTGGTGGGATCAAAGGGGGAGCCCCCATAGCAAAGGGTGTGGGGAAGCCCCCACAGTTAAAGGGTGTCGGGGCTCTGCCACAGGTTGAGCTTCATGGGGCGGTGAAGGCGGTGAGGCCCGAGCGTGCCAGCCACCATGGCGGCGCTCTCAGCCTCATCCCCTTTCCCGTCGGTTTTTGGTGCTGTGTGAAGAGGTGAGCTGTAGTTCAGAACTGCTGCAGGAGAGGGCAGTCATGTATTAGCCTTACCTGCTCAGGGAGGTAGTGCTTTTTGGGGTGCTCTTCCCCCTCCCGGCAGCCGTGGCCCCGGCCTGCCAGACGATTTTCGGAGCCCAGCTGGCAAACTACACAAGGTGGCGGGGCGCTTTTGGGACTGATGGTCGTTCATATACAGTCATTTCTTACTCTGAATTCAAAGTGTTTTGCTCGTGAAAAGATATAGAAATTGGACTTGAATTCCCTTGAGAGTTGTCAGTGCAAATAGCTGGTTGTCTGATGAAGCTCCTCTTTCCTGAGTCTCTTTGGCACTGTCATGGCTTAACCCCAGCCGGCAACTAAGCCCCACGCAGCCGCTCGCTCACTCCCCCCACCACAGTGGGATGAGGGAGAGAAGTGGAAGGGTGAAAGTCAGAAAAGTCGTGGGTTGAGATAAGAACAGTTTAATAATTGAAGTAAAATGAAATAGAATAGTAGTAGTAGTAGTAGTAATAATAATAATATAATA